CAGTGAGGGTGTGGGGGCCGAGTGCTGCTCCCCTAGCAGCTCCCTGCATGGTCCTGCCCCCTGTCAGCTCATCTGGAGCTCCCGGAGCTCCCCCCAGGCCTGTCCATGGCCCTATTTTGGCCTCCGCTTTGTGTCTGAGATTAGTATCACGCTCAGCAGGTTAAACAAACCCCAAAACGAGTCAGCCGAACCAGCAGACGGAGAGTTTTAATGAAGAAGCACTGGAAAATCTCGTTTTGCTCCCGGTCTTAGCTGCGCTGAGCCGAAGCGCCTGCCCTGGGTCTCTGCAACACCGAGAAGCAACAACAACAACAACAACAACAACAAAAAAGAAGGCACAAAGTGAGGACACAGTCCTAAAGTAAAAATACACCTTTCAGCCACACCTGGTCCCCACAGCTCAAAGCATTCCTTTGGGTGGGGAGAAACCACCCCTGGCACAGGCTGCTGCTAACCTGAGGAGATGAAATGAAGTTCCCGGAGCCCCACCCCGTATTATTTGTCTTTCATAAAAAGCTGTTTGCTGCAGGCAGGGGATGGTCCCCCCAACGCCGGGGCACTGCCCTCTGCACCAGCTCCATCCCTGTCCCCATGTCACATGGACAAGCCTGGCCACGCTGCCCCCGTGCCACCCCAGCGACAGTGGGATGCTTTTGGGTGCCCAGGACCAGGCGAGGCTTGTGTGCACCAGGTCTGGCGGGGATGGGGATGCTGCGGGGCCAAGCGCAGGCACGGTGATGGGTGTCTCGTTTGCCTCACGGCATGGAGAGACATCCCTGTGGAGGAGGGTAAACCGGGTGGAATTGAAGAAGTCGCGGGGAACGGACTTCTGCTGGGAGATGGAGAATTGCAGCCCCAGTAGCCAAGTGGAGGGGGCGAAGGGGACGCCCCGGCCACCCCCCTGACACTGACCTTGCGGGAAAAGCCACAGAGACCTCTTTTAAGCAACTCCCCCGGAGCCTTAAGCAATGCACAAGTATGTCATGAAGATGGACTGGAATTGGATGAAACAGAGACATTTCACAACCGGTGGAGTGGCACAGGTGGACGGCCAGGCTATAAGAGGTGCCGTGCTCAGGACCGGCCCCGCTCCAGCCTGAGGGGATCTCGCTACTTTGTCAAGATGAGCAAGGCAAGTCTGATGATGACACGGGCATTTAAGGTCTCTGCGCTCTTTTCCAGGCGTCGGTTGGGCCACTGGAGGTACAAGGACCCTTGGGGAGCCTTTCCTTGCCATCGGATGTTGGCAGAGATATCTCCATCCAGGCTCATCCAAGCACAAAGTACAAGGCGGGCGAGATGTCTCCTCCGGGAAGAGGTTTCCCCCCAGCACAGTCTGACCACTGAAGGGGCTCCTGGACATCAGATCTCACACCCTGTATCTTTACGGAGGTTTTTATGGTGCCAGCTGTTTTGGGAGCCTCGCTCCAACAGCACCTGACTTACAGAAGGCGCGCGGAGCGGGGAGATCAGCTCAGCTATTATCTGTAGTTGCACATCCCGGAGCAGAACCAGGCAGAGGCTGTGACCCCCCCTCTTTGGTCTCCTTTGGCTCGTAGAAGAGAAAACTCAACACTAACCGCTCAAATTTATCCCCCCCCAAAAGAATAACTGAACAAACCCAAGCTGCATCCTCATCTGGTGTGAAGCAGGTGGCCGTTCCGGAGCCTCTCTGGTTTACATCAGACTTCCCCATCTCTTGTGGCTTCTGACATTATTCAGTGTAATTGTTTTCTCTTCCAGACCACCCAGACCCAGGAACCGCTCTCTGAGCTGGAGAAGGCCATGGATGTCATCATTGATGTCTTCCACCAGTACTCGAGACGGGAGGGGGACAGAGACACCCTGACCAAGAAGGAGCTGAAGCTCCTGGTTGAGAAGCAGCTTGCCAACTACCTGAAGGTGAGTGGGGTCAGCGCAGGGTCTCTCCTGGTCTACGTGGGGAGGGAGAGGGGCAGGACCCCATTGTCTGAATTTCTCCAGCATCTAAATTCACCCCCTTCCCACTCTGCTCTCCTGCCCCAGCACCTTCTGCCCAGACCCTCCTCGTCTGACGGCCACTTTCCCACCATGCTCCTTACAGACAGACGAAGGAAACCCACACAGGTCCGGGTGAACCCACGGCCAGACATTTACCCTCATCGCCATATCTGCAAAAAATCAGTATCGCATTGCCCAAGAGTTCCTTTGCCATCTAGGAGCTATGATGTCAGAAATATCAGCCAAAAAGCCCTTTTTTTTTTTTTTTTTTTTTTTTTTTTTTTTGTAACTCACTTTGCTAAAGCGGAAGGTGGAGTGTTTTTAATCCAAGGCGCTAAAAGGAGAAGTTTGTGGCTGATGCAGAGCTGCTGCCTGCATCGGTCCCCGCACCGCACGGTGTCCTTGCAGCGGTGCTGGCCTGTTGCTCTCTGATTGCTTTATCGCCACGGGTGAATCATTGTTGTACCCAAAGCAACGGGTGACAACAACACAGGGATGGAACCACTCATAGCACCCAGCAACTGGGGACCTGACATCTCTGAGGGTCCCAGCGAGGCCGGGGAAAGGTTTGAGCTGTGACTGACAGGACTTTGCCCTCACCCTGTCCCTTCCTTTGCAGCACGTGAAGAGCAAGGTCACCATCGACGAGATCATGAAGGACCTCGACATCAACAAGGACGAGCAGCTCAGCTTCTGCGAGGCGATGCTGCTGATCATCCGCGTGACCATCGCCACCCACGAACACCTCCACGAAGTCGAGGACCAGCAGCACCAGCACAAACACCAGCACCAACACCACCACTGAGGCGGGCTGTGGTCCCCAGCCGAGGGCACCCGCGCAGTGCCGCAGCCCCTGATTTTCTCCCCTCCGTCCCTCTCCACCCACCTCCCTCCTTTCCTCCCTTCCAGTTTGATGGTTTTGCTGCCAAATAAAGATTCGCCCTGAGGCTGTCAAAGCTCTTCTGTGTGTCAGCGTGGGTTTTCCTTGCACCTTGCTCTCTCCCAGCACTTAAACTAGGCAGATCCACCTTGGAGCCAGGCTGCGGGTTCTCAGGGGTGAGGTGAATGCCTGGGGAGAGCAGGATTCGTTGCAGCAGGCGCTCACAACACAATTCTAATGTGCTCCACAGGTCAGGGAAGGTGGTATAATTTGACAGGTCTTTGCATTTCCAACTAGAAAAAAAAAAATGTTTTGGCCTGAAAACACTCTACGTGTCTCCTAGGACTGAGCTGGGGCGGTAGGCGAGAGCTGGAAGGAAGAATGGGGATGAATGAGAACTCTTTTCTGGAGCAGCACCTTTATTTTTAGGGCACTTTTGCTCTGCAGGGACCCGGCATGGGACTGGAAGGGTTTAGTTTTAGTGTTACAGCCAGCGACAAGGTCCGGCCGCTGGGTTTTGTGTGGATGAGAATCGAGAACCCAAACTTCTCGCTCAGAGCCCCCTGAGTTTGCACTGAGCTGTTATTTATTCATAACTGCTTTTCAGAGCGGGGTGAGGGGGGCTGGAAACGCCTCCGATGCCGCTGAGCAGAACTCCGGCCGTGCACGCCCGGAGCCTGGCTGCTGATTTGCAAATGTCTTTTAGAGGGGGAGAAAAAGGAAGAGTTGTGATTTCCTAAGGGTGAGTCAAAGGCCTGAAATCACCCCGTTCTCTGAAGGAACCCGCCACAAGCTTCCCCAAACCGGCGGCGCTGAAGCAAGCCCCCGGTTAACACAAGAGTGCCGCAAGTTTGCTTCAGCGCTGCTGGCCAGGTTGCTTCAGGCTTCCTTCGGAGTCGGTTTTGACATCCGAAGCACCAATCACCTTCCTGCAGGACAAAATCTGCTGCAGGGACCAGACTCCGCTCAGCTCTGCCTGAGCCTGCACAGGGTGACCGGGTCCCCTTCGGAGCCAGACCCTGCAGCCGACACTCAATCCCACCCCCCAAAATGGATCGTGCACCCCGTCCTACAGCACTTTAGGGTCTCTGCGGCAGGTAAGAGCCCCCCGCCCAAGGGGGGGAGTGGAGCTGGTTACTTGCCACCACCCTGCCAGGGCAGGAGAGCCGAGCTGTCCCCAGGACTGGCCCATAGGGACACTCCCAGCTTTCAGGACAGCAGTTGCTTGGGTCCCGTCTGTAGCAGAGCAGCTTTTCAGGAGCTCAGCACCTGCTGAGGGTGGTCACACACAAATCTGGGTGCTGGGGGGGGCACCCACAAACCACCCTGAGACCTTCCCCCAGGATCCAGGCAGGGACCGGCCTCGATGCTCGTCGTGCTGATGCAACAGGATATTTGCCAACACAGCGGGACTTCAGTCCCCTGAAACCCGGGGTGCTGGACTCCTGTTGTGTCACCCAACCGGGGGGCTGTTGGACCATCGCACCGGAGGTGGCGAGGAACAAGCCACCACACACACCCTGAGTGCAACAGTGCCAGGACAGGGCTGTGACCAGGCAGAGGTGATCCTGTTGGAATGGCAGAGGGGTCCCCAGATGCGTACGCATCCTTTCACCCCGACAGAGCTCACAGCCCCTGAGCAGAGACCCCAAAACAACGTGAGCAAGAAGGTGTTGGCTGCACCCCCCCCCCTGCGGAGGAGCGCTCGCTCAGGCCCCTGGGCCAGGGGCTGCGTGCCCGCAGCCGTGCTGCCCGTTGGGGGATGAGGATGGCAACTGTCGTCCCCCATGGAACAGGACGGGGGGCAGCCCCCAGCCCCACCTGCCTTCACCCCCACGTTATAAGGCAGGATTCGGCCTCTGGAAGCTGAGGACCAGGCTCCTGCTGCCACCTCGTGGCATGTGCCACAAAGGCTGCTGGCCCCGGGACAACTTGGGGAACCAGTGGGCCTGGAGAGCTCCCCAGGATTGCACCCCAGGGACACAGCGGCTGAGCCCATCCTGTGACCCCCTGCTCACCACATCTCCTGTCCCTACACCACCAGCGCTGCTTGCAATAAGCAGGATTATTCTGATTTATGTGTCATAAAGATAAAAAAACAACAAACCCAGGATTTTTGGGCTAAGCTGGCACCGTGAGGACATGCACCGATTTGCAAACACCCAAAGCTCCTCTCTCACACCCTTCTTGCTCAAGCCACAGCATTGTTTTGCTGGTAAAGGCTCCTTTCTTTCTCAACACTACCACATCAGTTCTCTTTCCCCGTGTCTTACGGGGAGCAGGAGAAGGGAGAAGCACCGCAGTTCCTCCAGGGCACAGCTCAAAGCAGCAGGTGAATGCTGGGTACAGAAAAATGCTAAATCCTCCTCCTTTCCCTGTTTGGGGGGGTTATACCCCACATCCCTCTCCTTGAGCTTTGCCCAGGTGAGGTGCAATGTCATCAACTTGCACTCGTACCCTGCCAAGGATCCCAGCCTAGGCCCTGCCTAAGGACTATGTCACCCTGTTCTATCCCATCAAAAGGGACTCGGGGTGGTGCCACCAGCTCCTCACACTGCTGAGCCCCTTCCAGGGCTCCCAAGCTGGAGAAAAGGGGCTGAAACCTCCAGGGCTGGCTTTTATGAATGGCTCTGCGACAAGGGGATATGATCCAGCTGGGCTGAGCTGTGCCTCCAGCTGGGTCCCAGTCCAGCCCCAGTATACGCATGGTGCCCAGTCCCCCTACCCACCATGGACTCCCTCTGCACACTGTTGATCTCCTCCGCTTGCCGCAGACCCCCTTCACGCCCCCCAGACCCCCCCACTTGGGGTCAGCCGGCTTGTGGCTGACACAGGAAGGGTTGGGCAATGCCCAGCGCTGTGGCAACTGGGGATTTCGATGCACCACGCGCGTCGCATTTGTTATCAGTCCAGACACGCTGATAGGGATGAGCCACAGCAGGGTGAAACTGGTCGGTCCTGGAGCACCGGTGAGGCCTGCGGCCAGGAGCCGACCTGCCGTCATGGGCAAAGCCAGGCCCAGAGCCCAGCAAAGCCAGCCTGACGCTGCTGTGGATGGCGACGTGCTGCCGCGGGATGGCACCGTGGTGGCAGTGGGCTCAAAGGGAGTAGCCAGCAGAAGGAACTGGCTCAGAGTGATTCAGAGCAATTTTCCTCCTAATTCCCCTGATTCCCCGGGCGGACGTGTGCTAATCGGGTGGAGGGAGGAGTATGGCGGTTGTAGGTGCCATTGCCGTGCGTTGCCCTCCCATCCTTCTCCGCAAATGCTTCCTGCCCCGTGCAGTGGCTTCTACGCTGCTGTGCCCGGCCACCCCCCAGCATTCCCAGTCCTGGGGTCCTTCCTGCACCCGGGCACGTGCCGTCCCCATGGCAGAGAGATGCTATTCCAAGAGTGTTTGTACAGAGATAGGGGCCTGCCAACATAAAACCCCTAAACCCTGAGCACTCGGCCACTGACAGGGCTCCAGCCCGTGAGAAAACACTCCTTTGCCAACGTCTCCATCAAGGCCATGGCCAGGAGCAGTGGGTGCCCTGACTCATGGGAGAGACATCGTGGGGATATCAGTCTCTCTGTGGGGTTTATGCTAAGCAAGATGGCAAAGCTGTACCCCAAAAGGTTGAGGGGTAAATTGCCCTGCTGTCTGTGCCCACTTGCTTGGCCATCCCAAATAAAACCCTGAACCGTGTCCCTCAGGGCTGGGGCTCTCCCAAAAGTCCCAGCTCCAGGGGATAAGCTGTGAGAGCAGCCCCTGGGCTGATCTGAAAGCATCCGTGTGCCGGGCTGCCCTTGCTGCAGAGGGCCTGCAGGGACTTGCTGCCTCTTGCTTCACTGTGCCAGGGTCAAATTTAGCTCTAGACCAGGGTCTGCATCTCATTTACAACCCACTTAATTGCAGAAGACGTCTTGTGCCGTGCTGGCGGTGTCAGCAGCCGTACGTAGGCGGCACAGGTTGGCTCCAGCAACCCCTCCTGTCCCAAACACGCTGCTCTGAACCCGGCCCTGCAAATGCCGCCTGGGAAGGCTGATGCACAGCGTGATCTCATCTGGCTTCGTCCCGTATCTGGCAATCTTGGGACGGTGCCTGAGCCCTTAATGATAGCTGGCACACCCTTCATAGCAGGGAGGGCTTGTTACACCCCCTTTCCAGATGAGCAAACTCGGGGTCATTGACTTCTCCGAGACCACACAGAGAATCGGCCAAGAGCCAGGCGTCCTGCCCTGGCTGCCTCGCTGCAGCAGCCCCACAGCCCCTGTCCTGGTTCTTCCACGGGGAGCCCTGGGGTAGCATGGCCCCATGCAGGGCTTGACGTGCTCCATGGGCAGCAAAATGCAGCCTGGCCCCGTGCACGGCTTCGTTTGCTCCATCCCAGCTGAAGTACAGCCTGGCACCAAGGCCACGCTGCTGGGCCGGGCGGTGGCTGTCCCCGTCCCATCGAGATGTGCAGTAAGTGACTTTCCCACGGGAGGGAGCTCATAACCCCGTTGGCCACGGCCACCCGGGGCTGGTGTCATGCCCACGTCGCTGTCACTCCTGGGAGCAGGCTGCCCTCTTGGCAAAGCAGCTCAGCGCTCTTTCCCCTTTCTCACAGAAGAAACCATCGTCCGAGCCGGGCGAACGTGAACGCGGTGTGTGCCCAGTGACAGCCCACACGAGACACGTGGGACGGCCTCAAAAATTAAAGCCACCTTTTCGGCAGGAAGGGGATTTTTATTTTTTATTTTTTATTGTCTACGAAATTTTTAAAGCTTCAACATTGCAAAGCCCCGTGACCTCACAAATCACCTTGGTTGTAAAGGAAAAAAAAAAATAAAATTAAACCTTTTGGAGGAAGCTAAATGCAAACCTTTATATATGAAGAGAACCTCTGGTTATATATATATATATATATATTTTTTTTTTAATACGAGGAGATG